TTTCTGCTGTGACCTTTTTTTCCACCCAAGTTTGACAATCACACACACGGGTACACAGACACAGGTTAGATGCTTGTAGTTTATTCTTCACTGCTGTGTAGTATTCCACGGGGGGGGGCAGACCACAATTTATTTATCCTTTCTCCTGGTGGGCATTTGGGTGGTTCTAGGTTTTTGCTTATGCGTGTTTCCTGGCACTTCTGTGCGATAGGGCATATACTAGGGCAGACCTGCTGGAGCATGATTAGCTTAAGTAGGCAATGCCAAACTAGAAATAAAGTACAGTTGGTATGATACCAGCTTGCCACCAGTGTGGACGAAAAGCCTTTCTGTACCACTTCCAAACCTCCATGCCAGTGACTGACATTATATGTATACCATTACTATCATATCCCTTATCCCTCAACCACCTCTCAGAGTAACTGGCCAACTAGTTACTAGCCAACACGCCCCATACATGCACTCATTCCCTTGGATGTGGTCATGATAAGTTTCAGATCCATACATATCCATGAAAAGCACATGATGTTGTTTCAGAAGTGTGNTGGCCAACTAGTTACTAGCCAACACGCCCCATACATGCACTCATTCCCTTGGATGTGGTCATGATAAGTTTCAGATCCATACATATCCATGAAAAGCACATGATGTTGTTTCAGAAGTGTGCATGCTTTCCTCTATGTAAATAGTTCTGTGCCACTGAGCACATCCTGTTTTAGATTTTTTTTTTTCACTCAGTATTTTCTAAGAGGTATCCATGTGGTTCTGTATAAATCAGACATGATGACACTGTGTCTTCTTCAACATGGATACGGCACCCTCATTTTACGGACCATAAGAGCTCCTGGCGGGGCCTAGGTGCATTACCTGTAATAACTGATAACGAAATCCTCACACTAATCCCCAAAGTAGGCGCTTCTGCTTCAGAAAAGAGGAAACCAAGGCACAGAGAGATGAAAGAAGCTGGACACATCACCGAGTTACCAGTGATACAGCGGGAATTGAATCGGGTCCTAGGATGCCAGGACCCATGTCATGAACTTTGCCAAGAACATGCAGCTNCAGGTTGGGTACATGAGACAAGTGCTCGGGCCTGGTGCACTGGGAAGACCCAGAGGGATCGGGTGGAGAGGGAGGTGGGAGGGGGGACCGGGATGGGGAATACATGTAAATCCATGGCTAATTCATTTCAATGTATAACAAAAACTACTGTAATGATGTAAAGTAATTAGCCTCCAACTAATTAAAAAAAAATCATCTTAAAAAAAAAAAGTTGCAGAGCAGAAAGTAACTAATTGTCTTATTGGAGATTTATAGAAACACTGTGACAAGACCTACACAGACAGCTGCAAGAAGAAAGGATTCCTGCACCAAGAAGTTTACAACAATGAGCCTCACCCCCCCTTCTTTTTTTCTTTTTTTTTAGTAAAAAAGAGGCCTGGATTCTTTGCAACACTAGTCCACCATCTTCTCAGTCTGCTGGCTTTCTGAATTCAGTTCAATTCAGTTCAGTCACTCAGTTGTGTCCGACTCTCTGCAACCCCATGAACCACAGCACACCAGGCCTCCCTGTCCATCACCAACTCCTGGAGTTTACTCAAACTCCTATCCATCAAGTCGATGATGCCATCCAACTGTCTCATCCTCTGTCGTCCCCTTCTCCTCCTGCCCTCAATCTTTCCCAGCATCAGGGTCTTTTCTAATGAGTCAACTCTTCCCGTCAGGTGGTCAAAGAACTGGAGTTTCAGCTTCAACATCAGTCCTTCCAATGAATACCCAGGACTGATCTCCTTTAGGATGGACTGGTTGGATCTCCTTGCAGTCCAAGGGACTCTCAAGAGTCTTCTCCAACACCATAGTTCAAAAGCATCAATCTTTTGGTGCTCAGCTCTCCTCACAGTCCAACTCTCACATCCATACATGACTACTGGAAAAATCATAGCCTTGATTAGACGGACCTTTGTTGACAAAGTAATGTCTCTGATTTTTAATATGCTATCTAGGTCTTGGTCATAACTTTCCTTCCAAGGAGTATCTTTTAATTTCTGAATTAAAGCATTAACACTTGCTTCAACAACTCACAATTTCTCTCTGAATGTATTAGCCTGTCATGCAGCAAGCAGTACAAGTCTGGCTGCGGTAACAGGGATGAGTCTGGATCCATCTTCGGTGGTAAAAGGTGCTACTCGTTGGCAGAGCAACAGAACGATCACATGACCTAACCAGCTAAGTGCGTACTGTTGTGACATCGTAATTTTTATCACAAGAAAGTGCTTGAGCACTCCTTGGTGGTCCAGTGGTTAAGAATCGACCTGCCAATGGGACAGGCTCTAACCCTAGTCCGCAAAGATCCCACACGCTGAAGGACAATTAAGCCCAAGTCCACGTGTCACAGCTGCTGAGGCAGAACTCTAGAGCCTGTGCTCTGCGACAACAACCGAAAAAACCACGGCGAGGAGAGGCCCCGCGCTGCAGTGAAGACTGTGCACCTAGAGGAGGCCTGCTCGCAGCAACGAAGACCCAGCGCAGACTTAAATAAACAAAGAAAACGTGCCTGGCTGCTGCTGCTGCTAAGTCACGTCAGTCGTGTCCGACTCTGTGCGACCCCATTCTGCGGAGAATTCAAGTACTTTTCAGATGAGAAAAACATTTCTGGAGCAGTGAGCCAAAAGCAAACTCTTCCACTCTCTGCATTAACATATCAAGTGACCCTTGTCATGTGTCATTTATAAGAACTTCCTCTCCAAGAAATAAGAGCTGTGTCCTTCAGTCCAGAACCAGAAGCATCTCAGCACAGAAAACTTGACTGAGTAAACTCCCCAAACTGGGTATTTTAAGGGAACAATAGAAAGCAGTCTTATTTTCCTGACTGTTGTCAAGGACACCAATTCCATATACGGAAAAAAAAGGAAGTCCAGGAATAATTATTAACGTTTCAGTAGGTGGAATTTGATAGATTTACAAAAAAAGCAAATGGCTTTAATAGAATTCTCTCTACCTCAGAGCCAACACCGGCTATTACTATCTGCTGCTCTAAACTGCCAGTTCATCTTCAAAGACACAGAAGCAATTTCAGTTGAAATTTGTTTTCAAGAAACTCTCAAGGTTACCATTTCTCAGAATTATCCTTCACTTACATTTACATTAACCAATATGAGGATAATAAGATAAATCAGAGCTGAAAACACAGCTCATTTCTGAGAGCAAATACAGAACGTTTCTCCTGAACACATTTACAGGGATCGTGTTTCTCAGAGTTGTCTGTTTGGACTGGATAAATTAACTTTAAAAATCTGCAATAATTTCTTGCTGACCTCATCTTTTCCTTCTGGCTGGTTACGAATAAAACGCCAGTCAAAATAAATTTCAGTTGCTGCTGCTCATACTCTGAGCTTCAGGAGATATTTCTTGTATCACCTTCCTCCTCCGAGAGCTTCTCTTTGCAACCTGTGGCTTCATGATTAACAAGACTACAAGAAGTCCCCTCCCCGATCTGTATGTAGCATGAACACACTCACCAGACACATTCCAGATATTTCTAAAGAAACCTTATCACAGCCACTAGAGTTTTCCCACTTGTGTTTCTGTAGACACAGCGGCCATGCCCCAATAAACCATCACACAGAAATCAAACGATATAGTCTGCCAGAAGGGCCGGTCCTCCCAGTCCCTGGGTGAAATCTAGCATCCTCCACACCCTTCGGACTCCCCGTATTTCTCACTCCTGCAAGAACACCCACAAAGCCATTAAAAAAAACACACTTAAAACTCATTACTTCTAATTCCATTTTCAAAGAAATCAAGTGTGTGTGAATGTGAGTTGCACATGGTATACAACACTTTTCCAAATATACTGCTTTTAAAATGCACGTGTATATGTAAATGTGTGTGTGTACATGCCACTTCAGAGGGTGTTTTATGTTTTAGCAGCCCCACCCCAAAATGGTAAAACTGTTCAATACCATAAACTTTCTCCTTTATAAGCCACTTTCGATTTTCAATAAATGTTTCAGGTAAAGAGTAAAAATTAGTATTAAAAAAAAAAAACCCGATCAGGCCACTTGGGGAAATGAATTTATATAGGGAAAGTCAAGAACTGGCAAGGCAGTGAGCAAGCTGGGCCAGCACAGACAGCTGAACCAACCAGCGCAGGTGCAGACAGCCTATCTGGCTGATGTAGCTCAAGCCCCAACATTCTCTGTAACTTTTATTTGGGTCAAGTATATGAAAACCATCACTTCATTTCCTCCTGGTGGCTGCAACCACGTGGACGCGGAGCCCTGAAAGGAACAGGCCGGCTTCCTCGCGGGGACTTGCCTTGGCTCGAGTCTCAGCCCCCCAGTTCTCTAATCTCACCTCCAGGGCCCTGGGAAGCGCTGTCAGTGGGCAGAGGAGGGGGGCAGGCGTGCGTGACGAGCTGCTGAAGTGTCGGGGCGCCCCGATAACACGGAGGCTGAGCGCTGGAAAGCCAGGTCCCCCCGCCCCTCCCGTCTCTCCCCAGGTAACCCCAGGAAGCGTCTCCCCAGGAGATGGAATTAGAACAGAAGTCAGAGAATTTTGGATGTGGTTTTCGATGTTAACTCAGGGGTCAGCTCTCCTTCCCTGCAAAGAACCAGATAGTAAATACTGTCAGCTTTGCCGCCCATATGGTCTCGAAGTTGGAAGGACTCAACTCGGCCATGACAGCGTGGAAACAGCCCCCGACAGCATGGAAATGAGGGTGGCTAGAGCCCAGGAGAACACTCCTTCTGCACAATGAGACCTAGATTTCCTGTCATTTACACGCACTGTGAAATATTCTTTTGATTTTTTTTGCAACCATTTAAAAATGTGAAAGGCGTTTTCTTAGCTCCCGAGCTGTGGAAAAACAGACAGTGGACTGGGTTTGGCTCACAGCTGTGGGCGGCAGACCCTGGCACTCACTGAGAGGTGGGCAGAGGTCTGTGAAAATCCAGTCAAGGAGGAAGTCAGGGCAGTTTCGTGGCCAGGATGGAACCTACCTTGATATGAGCTGCTGGGTCTGGGACAGTCTGAATCATGACCTTCAGGAGGCCAGCGCGGCTACCATTCACTCAGCATCCGAGGCAGCTAGGAGACACAAAGGGCAGACACAGACAGCAGTAAGCGACCACGTATCGGTGTTCCGTTTTCCATCAGGACTGAACACAGCACACACACAACAGTGAAGAAATCCCGGCTCTGCATTAAACGTGTGCTTTTATTAAAAACAAAACAAGAACAAAAAAAACCCTTTCTTTTGTATTGGAGTATAGCCAACGAGAAAGGACAGGAAGCCTGGTGTGCTGCAGTCCACGGGGTCGCAAAGAGTAGGACACGATTAAGCAACTCAACACCACCACCAATAGCTGAGTAGCGGGGCTTCCCAGGTGGTAAAGGATCTGGAGATGCAGGAGACATAAGTTCGTTCGATCCCTGGGTCAGAAGGTTCCCCTGGAGGAGGAAATGGCTTCCCACTCCAGTATCCTTGCCGGGATAATCCCATAGAGTAGCCTGGCGTGCTACAGTCCACGGGGTCGCAAAGAGTCGGACATGACCGGACACACACAATGATTAACAATGTTGTGACAGTTTTAGGTGAGCAGTGAAGGTCTCCTCAGATGTTTGCCTTTAGATGTGAACAGTGGATGAAGTGACTAGAAACCCGACTTCTCTTATGTTGGGAATATCACTTAGTTTTAATCTCCATAACCCTAAGACGTCAAGCTCCCCAAAATCCAAGTCAAATCCAGTTGATACACATCATTTTACATGAGCAGCGTCTATGCGTGAAGGAAGAAATGAGACCCCCAAAATGGTATTTTCTATTATATTGACAGAATTGGACTCTGACGTTTCTACCCAAACTAATACCATCTACACACCTGTACTCTGGCCACCTAATGCAAAGAGCCAACTCACTGGAAAAGACCCTGATGCTGGGAAAGACTAAGACAGGAGGAGGAGGGGTAACAGAGGATGAGATGGTTGGATGGCATCACTGACTCAATGGGCATGAGTTTAAGCAAGTTCCGGGAGATGGTGAAGGACAGGGAAGCCTGGCGTGCTGCAGTCCATGGGGTGACAAAGAGCCAGATGTGCCTGAGCAACTGAACAGAAACACATCTGTAAGCTGCATAACTGCTCAAGTGCTCAGACATGTCTGACTCTTCGAAACTCTATGGACAGACTGCAGCCTGCCAGGCTCCTCTGTCTGTGGGATTTTCCCAGCAAGAATACTGGAGTGGGGTGTCAGTTCCTTCTCCAAAGCTTCATAATTGGCACCTAATAAAAAGCACAGCTACTGGTCACTGAATGCATGAGCCGCCGAGGCTTTAGGGCTCAGGGCTCCAGGGCCATTGCCTCACTGAACCCTAACCACCACTCTGAGTGTGCACATTCTCATCAACCAGTCGGGAATGTGGACACCCAGTGTGTACGTGTGTGCTCAGTCATGTCTGACTCTTTGAGACCTCACGGACTGTAGCCTGCCAGGCAGCTCTGTCCATGGGATTCTCCAGGCAAGAATACTGGAGTGGGTTTTCACGCTCTCCTCCAGGGGATCCTCCCAACCCAGGGACCAAACCCCTTGTCTCCTGCATCTCCTGCACTGGCAGGCAGATTCTTTACCACTGTGCCACCGGCGAAGCCCGTGGACACCCAGGGAAATCACTAACTTCTCCAAGATCACGTGGTTAATAAGAAACAGCGCCAGGATTCAGGTCAGACTGGCCTGACACCAAGACCCAACAGGATCTTCAGTTTGACATAATTAACAGGTTTCACCCTGTATTCTGAAGATAATTTAACATACTAAAGATGAATGAAGTTTTACGATACCAATATTCTAGGGATAAATACTTCACCCAGGATATGCCTTTCTTCAGATTATAAACCAGCGTGTTGCGGTTCTCTTCTGCCCTCCCACACCAGAACCACTCTCCACTCCCCCGCTCCACCCTGCTGGTGCCCCCTAGGGTTGACCCCTACAGACGACCTCAGCTGGGCGCCCTTGCCTTCTGGGCCCAATCAAGTCCGACCACTAAGACACCATCTGGAGCTCAGGGGGCGGGAGGAGAGAAGGGCAGTGGTACTTCTTCCCAGCAGCTACCCACCACCCACTCGAGGCCCCCTCCATTCCTGGTCACATAGCTGATCCCAAGGGGAACCTCACCCATCCTCGGGACCCTTCCCCAGGGCTCCAGGCACCACTTCCCCAATCAGCCCTGGGCTCTCTGTAGGTCTATCGGTTCTTTTCTGGCACTGAAAACAACTTTTTCTAATCTGTGTTTTTAGGTGGCATCACTCTTTGATTAACTCTTAATGTTGTGTGTTTTCTTTTTCGTAAATCAGGCCTCTGCCTCTGAGCAGTAGCAAACTTCGGAATGAAAACAAGCAGCTTGATGACAGGAAGACACACAAAAGCGAACTTCCAAGTTTGCTTTCAGACACATCACTCTGGGGGCCTGCCGGGGCCCTCATAGGAGTACCTCTGTCATCCAGGTTTTCTGACCCTCTCGAGGTACAAACACACCCACTTTCGACAGAGCTCGGCCTCTCGTGGGATGCCTTCATCCTCAGGTCTGCATGCTTGGGGGTGCGTGAGTCACTCAGTCATGTCTGGCTCTTTGTGACCCCAATGGACTGCAGCCCACCAGGCTCTTCTGTCCACAGGATTTCCCAAGCAAGAATACTGGGATGGGCTGCCGTTTCCTTCTTCAGGGGATCTTCCAGACCCAGGGATTACACTTGTGTCTCCTGGGTCTCAATGCCTTGGTAGGTGGAGTCTTTACCTCTGAGCCACCGGGGAAGCCCTAATGCTTGGGGGTGGGGTGGGTGGGGTGGAGTCCATCCCCCAGGTGGCTGCAAGTCCCAAGAACAGGGGGAGCTTGGTTGTCCAAGAAGATGACCAACTTGGAACCTCAGACATTATTTTTTCCTAAAGTCAAATTTCTTGATCCTGGGAAATATGCAATTCCCCCTTCAAGTCAAAAGTAAGTCCTCTGGGGGATAATAGTTGCTAAACATGCAAAAGCAATGAAGCACTGTCCTGAAATTGACTAGGGGAGCAGTTGAAGGTAACCCACGTTCTTGGCAAACTAGGGGCAGGACAGAGAACAGGGGCCTGGCCAGAGGTCTCTCAGAACTGGCTCCCCTGGTGCAGGGGGGATTCCTTCGACTCCCTCAGGACGGCCTCCTCAGGGCTTCCGGACAATAGGAAGCCCCCACCCACCCAACCGCTGCAGGACCCCATGCTCAGGAACAAGGGTTCTTTTTGTAGGCTTCAGCATCTCCCCTAGGGAGCTCACCCCACACCACCCCTCCCCCCTGCACACACATACCACAAGCCTGTCCCCTACCCTCAAAGCCCAGGAGACTTAGCAACCGCCTCTGATCCTGAAATGCTGCAGGAGGCAGCTCTGGGGGGGCCCTGCGCGCAGCTCTCCCTTCCCGAGTGTGGGAACCAGGTCCCCGAGCCCCAGGCAGCACGCAACGTGGCCCGAGGCGGGTACATGGCTGACACCAGGCCCACGTGCCAGGCCCACAAAGGAGCCACCCTGGACACTCCAGCGTGGTCATTTCTCAGATGACCGCAGCCCCTGGCAACATCGAGAGAGGAGAACGGTCCAGCCTGGTACAGGATTACGGGAAACCGCAAGTGGGTCGTTGTTTGAGGCTGCTCAGCGTGGGACTGGCTTTGCAGCCCACGTAGACAACCAAAGTACCCTGCGTGCGCTGCAGGTACAGAGAAGGCGGAGACTAGCTGGCTCCCATTTTTCTGTCGTGCTACGGCGGGTTAAAAGAGGGTGTCGGTTCTCCACGCCTCTCTGGGTCCGTGCCTTCCGCCCGGGACAGCGGCTCCTCTCCCTGAGTAGGGCCTGCTTCCCCAAGCCCGGTTCTCGGGCGGCCCCTGGGCCTTGCTTTCATCCAACAGAACACAGCAGAAGGACAGCCCAGGTCTCGAGAGATACCATGCATTTCCACTTGTAACTCTCTAGCCCCGTGGAAACCTGCCCAGGCTAGTGTTTCGCAGACTAGAGGCATGTGGAGAAAGCCCAATCATCCAATCTCTCCAGCCAAGACCACTGATCATCTATCAGAGGGACCATCAAACCCGGGGCACATGAGGGAAACTACAAAACCAAAACTGTTCAGGAAGGTTAACATGAATGGCAGACCCACAGGCTCAGGAGAGGAACAAATGCTACTTGTTTTCAACCCCTGAGACTGGAGATATATTGTTGCATGGCATTTCTGTGGCAATTACCAACTTACACAATATGCTTTTAATAACCGGGTTACCTAGATGCCCCCGAAGACTTTCCCAACTGAAGAGATAAAAGGTGCCTCCAATAGGAATTTCAAAAGAAACTGGCTTCATCTCAACCCACAAAAAAATCATTTCCATTCATCTAAGAGTGAAAGTGCTAGTCACCCAGCCACGTCCGACTCTTTGTGACCCCATGGACTGTAGCCTGCCAGGCTCTTCTGTCCAGGGAACTCTCCAGGCGAGAAGATGGACTGGGTTGCCAGTCCCTTCTCCAGGGGATCGTCCCAACCCAGGGATCGAGTCCAGGTCTCCTGCATTGCACGCAGATTCTTTACAGTCTGTCTGAGCTACCAGACATGATCTCAAACTCTGACCCGCCCTCAAACTAGCTGGGAAACTGAGGAGGTACCGAGAAGCTTCAACCAGAAGACTCTGGGATTCTCGGAGCCCTTCCCCCCGAGCTGAATTCTCATGTCCCACAATGGGACCCTGCCAGCCTCCTGGGGTTTCTAACTACAGTGAAACAGGATCAACATTCTGGATATCCAAGACCACAGACGCATCACACAAGTCACAAAGGCCATTTGATCTGTAACCCAGCAAGACATAAACTTAATAATGACTGTTTATGTCTCATGTCTTTAACGGGGAGGTCTGGGGTACTTTCAAGGCATAAGGATGAAGCTGTGGGGAAGGGGATATATAGATTCCAGATGCGATATAGCCACGCCCTTCCAGGGATGGAGAAGGGGAAACAATTGATACAGATACCCAGACCCAGAGTTCAGTCCTGAGAGCGGGCAGCCAGGGGCGCTGCCTG